TAAATTTCCCTCTCAGCACCAATTTCATGGTATCCCAGAAGTTTTGGAGTACTGTGTTTGTTTTCATTTGTTTTTAAGAATTTTTTTATTTTTACCTTGATTTCTGTGTGAACACAAAAGTCATTCACAGGCATGTTGTTTAATTTCCATGTATTTTATGTGCATTCAGGAGTTCCTGTTGGTGATGATAGTTATTTTTAGTACACTGTGGTCTGAGAAGGTGCTTGATATGATTTCAACCTTTTGAATTTTGTTCATGCTTGATTTATGTCCAAGTATATGTCCCATGTGCTGGTGAGAAGAATGTTTATTCCGTGGTTGTTGGGTGAAGTGTTCTGTAGATATTTATTAAGTTTAACTGATCAGGTATTAAATTTCTGGATTTCTTTGTTAGTGTGTTACACCTTGATAATCTATTTAAGGCTCTTAGTGGGATATTAAAAACTCTGATGCTGTATTGTTCTCTATTAGTTTAATTAGCAATTGTTTCATAAATCTGGGTGCTCCTGTGGTGCCTATATATTCAAGATGGAAATTTCTTGCTGACAGATTGAGCCTTTTATCATTATACAGTGTCCTTTTTAACTTTAATTAGTTTAAAGTCTATTTTGTCTGATATAAGAATAGCTACTCTTGTTCTTTTTTGTTTTCCATTTGCCTGGAAGATCTTTCTCCAGCCCTTTACCCTCAGCCTGTGGGTATCATTTGCAGTGAGATAGATTTCTTGAAGGCAGCAATGAATCATGCTTCTTTATTCAATGCCACTCTGTACCTTTTGAGAGGTGTGTTCAGACCGTTTGCATTTGGTATATGGGAATTTGTTCCTATCATGTTGCTATTAAAAGACTGTTTTTCTCTTTTAGGTTTGTGATTGATTTGTATGGTCTGTAAACTCTGTGCTTGTCTGTGCTTTTTTGATGGGTGGAACTGTTCTTTTGATGATGTGTCTAGAACTTTCTTAAGCATCTCGTGAAGGGCTCATCTGGAGGTGGCATATTCTCTTAGGAATTAGATGTCTGGGAAAAATTTTATTTTTGTCTTCATTAATGCAGGGGGCCAGCCCCTGCAGGATTTGAGGGTCCCTGGAAAGATGTGGCGGCATTAGCAATTCTGTTAGGAGGGATAGATATTAAAAGAAAGAAAGAAAGTGGGGAGAAAGTAAAAGACTAGACTCTGTCTAGTGCAGAAGCCATTTAATGGGACAAACCGTAAGCCCTTTATCCTAAATTTTCATAGGTTAAATCACAAGACTTTCACGTGAACACAAAGCCAGGTGGATGAGGGGTGTCCCCCACCCACCAGGCATTTCCCCAAGCATGATAAAGGACAATCCCAAAATTATCTCACTGTTCCTTATGCTTGGTTAATGTTCCTCAAAAGTAGTACAACAATTCTAACATAATATTCTAATAATCCATAACTTCTAAAGCTTATGCATACACAACACCTAATGACTAACTTAAATCCTAATGCCTTTCTATTCTATGCTAATTCTACCTACACTATAGAAACTCTTAATTATAGCTTAAACCAGTTCCTAAAGAATGTGGCCCAGTCCAAAGATCACACTGGGCTGTTTCCAGGAACAATTGATTACAATCTCTTAACAAAATGGCTATTCTAAAATCCTATATATCTATCTTAATTTCTATAAAAGTTTCTAATTCCTAATCCTAATATCTAAAGCTGATCATCAGCAATAAAGCTTCTAAAAATAAAACCCAAATATACACTGTAAATTGTACTAAAGCCAAAACTGCAAATGTAGAAAATGGGAACAATGAAATTTCTAGAGTTAGCTGTATTCTTATTAAACCTCAAAATATCATGTTTGATCATGCTTGAACTAGCATAATTCCCTGATGTTAGCATGACCTATTCTACAATACTTTCTATGAGTAAAATAAATTCAATTTCTATAATAAGTAGAAAAACCCTACAGTAACTGTAGCTAAAACCAGTTTAACAGAATGCAACCCAGTCCAAAGTATGTGCTGGGCCCTTAGGAATGTGGCCCAGCCCAAAGTTCATGCTGGGCCATTTCTGGTAACTCTAGATAATCATCTATACCATCTAAAGCTGAAAACAGCTCTCCATATGTATATACTAATTCTACAAATATACTTTTAAATCTCATAAAGAAGCTTGTACCATATAGAAGGTTCCCAAATGTGACCTGAGTTTGAATTATATCTAATACCTAAGCCGAAACCGCAGTTCATGGGAAACAGGAACAATGAGTTTCTAGAGTTAGCCATGCCTGTCACATTCACAGAACCTTCAGCCTAGGTCAGCAGAGTTCTTTTTGGCTACGTGTGCTAAATAGAAAAAGGGAGTAGGGAATGGGGTCAACAGTTCCTGAATGCATCCTAGTGGTCTCGGGGTCCATGGCCCTCCCTGATTCCTAATGCTCAGGGCCTCTGGGCTGGCTCCCAACACATGAAGTTTGGCTTGGGGAGGTAGAAAGTTCTTAGTTAGAATTGCTTTCTTTAAAAATATTAGAGATGGGACCCCAGTACCTTCTGATTTGTAGGCTTTCTCCTGGGAAGACTGCTGCAATTCTGATGAGTCTTCCTTGATAGGTCAAGACCTTGATAGGTCTCTTTAGTTGCATTTAAGATTTTTTATTTCATGCCCACCTTGTGGAGATAGATTATTATTTGTCATGTGGACAATCCTCTTGTGTAATACCTCGTAGGCCTTCTTTGGATCTGTGTGTGCATGGCCACCTTGGGGAAATTTTTTTGGATGACCTCTTGCACTGCTTGTTCCAGGTTCTCAGTTTTCTCATCTGTCTCAGGGATGCCAATAAGTCACAGATTTGGTCTCTTTACATAATCCTAAACCTTTTTGAAGACTTTGCTCCTCCTTCTCGAGCTTTTTCTCTTTGCTTTTGCCAGACTGAGTTAGTTCAAACTCTGAAGTTGTTGCCTCTGCCTGGCCAACTCTGCTGTTCAAGCTAGCCATTGTGTTTCAAAATTCTAGGAAAGAATTCTTCATTTCCAGAAGTTCATATTGGTCCTTTCTAATAATGGTTAGCTCAGATTTCACTTCTGGCACTGTTTTTGTTGCCTGGATTATTTGTGTGTCCACCTTCTCATGGATCTTTTTGAGTGGACTTACCATTCAAAATAGGAATTCTGTCTGTTATCAGAGACAGGTCGTTTTGGATGGATTCCATTGCTTAGGATCTGGGAGGCCCTGTTGTGAAAGTTGACACCTTCAGGCTTTGGAGTTGTCAGTGTTTTTTTTTTTTTTTTGCTGGTTCTTCCTCATCTGTGAGCCCAGACTATTTTTTGTTGTTTTTCAATTAATTAAGGTTGCTACTGTTGGGGAGTGGTGTTGTAGCTTTTGTTTGGTTGTTGTTTCATTTTTCCCTGTCGTCCCTCCTATGACTCACCTGTGGAGGAGGGCAGCAGTGGCAGGAAGGGTGATGTTCTGGGGGAACCATCTGAAACTTCTTTATAAGTGCAGTCTGGCAGAAACAGAATATCTTTCTTCTATTTCAGATTCTTTTCTCTTCCTCTGCTACAGGTTGCAGGGGTAGTCTGCTCTCCAGACTATTTGTCTCACCAGCAGGATTGGCAGGCGGCCAGGCAGGGTCCTGTGGCTCTATCCTGGCTTAGATGCTCTTAAGGGTGTGGACTGGCCTCTTCCCATCTGGGTGGTACTGCCCCTTTCATCCAGGGGTAAAAGGGAAGCAGTGGAATATTGTTATTTGTCTGTCGATGGGTGGGCAGGGCCACTACCACCACAGTGCTATGCAGTGCCTCACCTATTACTTACCCGCCTATTAGATATAGAGATACCTGCTCTGTCAGAGGGGCTATAACACAAAGGCAATCCCCCATGGCGAAGCTGTGTCTATAGCCCTGACCTAGGGCACAAGGGCTGCCAGCACTGGAGAAACATCCCTGAATTGGTCACGTTGGCCCTGCTAGGAGCTGGGGAAGGAGGGAAGGAAGCACAACTGTGTGGCATAGACCACTCCCAAGGGTATTTCCAGTTGAGGCTTTCTGTGGGCAAGTCAGCAGCTGTGGCATGGGATTCCTGGGGACTCGGTTTCCCAGGGTTCCACGTGGGACCCGCTGGTGTCTCTTTCTCTATCCAGAGCATTCCTCTGCACCTGGCCAGTGTGAGAGTAGGGGGTCTTGGGGTGTCTATCTTTTGACTGAGACATCAGAGGCCCACATGAAATATGCAGAAAAGAAAAGCTGTCATTTTTCACTCATCCCCTGTCTCCAAAAGTGCTCTCCCTTTCTCACATTGCAGCTGGCTCCATGGGTGTCCAGAGCTTGGGTCCGTCCTCTGTATCCCCAAGTAACCATCTGGTAGACCTCAGTGTGGGTTTTCTGGTCACCCCTAAAAGCCCTGGGTCAACTCTTCCATATAGGCTTCTTTGCAGACAGATGCAATCATGTGATGTCTTCAATTGGTCATCTGGGTCCTCCGTGAAATATTAACTTGTCTATTTGGAGAAAACTAAAGCCTATATTCTGTTTCTAATGCCTGTTTTGTTGTTTCTTATTTTATCTTAGAATCAGGGCTTACAGTATACACCTGTTACATGGACTTATTGTGGTGAAGACTGGGCTTCAGGTGATCCATTTCCCACATAGTGGACATTATACCCAATGGGTAACTTTTGAACCCTAGCCCCACTCCCCACCTCTCCCCATTTAATGTCCCAGTGTCTATTATTTCCATCTTTGTGGTCATTTAGTTCCTGTATATGAGAACATGCAGGGCTTCATTTTATGTTTCTGAGTTACTAAGTGATGTTCTCCAGCTCTATCCATTGCTGCAAAATACGTGATTTTGTTCTTTTTTTCATGACTGTGTAGTATTCCATGGTGTATATATGGTAAATATACCACATTTTCTTTATCCAGTCAATCATTGATGGGCACTTAGGTTGGTTCCACAATTTTGCTATTGTGAACAGTGGGTATTGCAGATGTACAAGTACAGGCATTTAAATTTTTTTTTTTACAAAAAGGGAGAAGGAAATAAGTTTTATTTATTTATTTATTTTTACATAGTGATTTTTCCTTTGTATAGATGTCTAGTAGTGGGTTTGCTGGGTCAAAAGATAGTTCTATTTTAATTCTTCAAGAAATCTCCACGTTCTTTTTCAAAGAGGATGAACTAATTTACACTTCCACCCAAAGTATATGAGCATTCCTTGTTTATCTTTAAAATTATCCCAGATAATTTCATATGGTAATTTCATGTGATATCCATGGTAGTTTTATGAATATACTTCTTGAACTTCAGGAAAAAAATAAGAAAAATGTGTAAGCAATTTATTTAGATCTTTTTATTTTAACCATAAAATATTCTTTTAACTCAGTAAGATGTTACAGAAATTGTAAGTTTTACTTCTGCTCTTTCTGATGGCTAGAGAGTATTTCAGTTTCCCTTTACACCGTTTAGGTTTCAAACTCTGCATTAATTAGACGTGAACTATTATGAAAAGATAGTTACATAGTAAAATTATAAACTGTCTTGAACTTTAATTTTTTTTTCTCAAACTGCTTCTTTCAAGGTGAAACCTAAATATGGATGTAAGATAACTTGAGCACCAAGTGAGGCCTTTAGGATTTAGCTTACTTTAATTCATTCAATAAATATTTATTGTGTATCTATTTTATAAAAATATTGTGTTGGCTACCTTTATCAGTAAAGGGAAACAATAAAGGTAAATAAGAAATGTACCTTGAGATCAAGAAGCTTGTAGCTTTGAGGAGAGATAAAAAGGGTTTGAAGATAGGGAGAGTGTGAAATAGAAGGCCGAGCAATGGGTTGGCATTGTAGATGTTTTAGATGAGAAGGAGGAGGAGGAGAAGCTTCATCAAGGAAATGACATCCCAGCTGGGTACATAAGCTAAAAGGTAAGCTCATTTGAGGGGGTGGTTTTTGTCTCCTTAGGGTTCTCTTTTATCCCCTGAGCCTCACACATAGTTGACATTTAGTGAATATTAAATGATTGGAGTAGGAAATCCTGACTCAAAGCCCTGACTTTGCCACATACTTGCAGCATGGCTAAGGAAAAGGCACTCCATTTCTTGAAGCTCAGTTCTCTTATCTGAGAAATAATACGGATTTAAAAATGGGTATCAAATGCATGTATACATGTGAAACACTTGCAGAACTTTTAAAACAGGTGAGATGTGTTGAATTAATGTAAGTATTATTAGAGGTTGGGTGGGATGTGGATTCATTCTGGCGTGGAGAGACCATCATCAACAGAGTTAACACACACAGGAGAATCTACCTATTCTGATTGTCAAATGTTAAAATGATACATTTCCTATTTTATCAGTGATGAGAACTCAGTCAAAGGGTTATAAACACACTTAGGACTTCAAAGGAGAGAGTAGCCAGAACACTTACTCAGAGTTTGCAGAGGGGTGATGCCATTAAATCTGTTTGGTGGGTCTAGCCATCATTCACTTCAGGAGCAGTATAAAAGTGTGTCAGGTGAACACTGAAGTACAACCTGGAATACTACCAAATTATACCACAGGAATGTGTCTGCAACACAAAGTTTTACATTTGTATACGTTTAGAATTCCGTTAGTTGAAACCAAGCATTTTAAAATGAGGACACTTAGTCAAAAGGAAGTTAGAATGCCTTGCAAATGATGCTACCTACCTACGAGAGGCAAGATCTGGATGATCATCTAGTATTTTTGGCACTTAAGTCTGTAATCTCATTATCATATCCAATATGTCTCTGTTTGTAAATTTAAACCTTCTAGGACTTCAACAGTGAAAATGATAGAACAATTCGGGAAAACACTAAATTTGTTTCTATATATCAGGAACAAAGAGTTGTAGCCCCTCTAGCATGCCCTCAAAGAAGAGAAAAAAGACGGGAAGCAATGAGATAAATAAGTAGAATTTGAAATTGTCTAAGGTTCTGCAAGACTTCTGAACTTTTAATTTACATTTAAAATTATTTTTAAAAATGTTCTGTAACCCTGTATTTTTCCAATGCTAATGTAACTACTTACCACAAATTTAGTGACTCAAAACAACAGACATGTATTATCGTACAGTTCTCTAGGTCAAAAGCCTGACACGGGTTAACAGGGTGTTGGCTGGGCTGGGCCCCTTTCTGGAAACTCTGAGGGGGAGATTGTTTCCTTATCTTTTCCTGTTTCTAGAGGCTGGCAGCATTCCTTGGCTTCTGATCCCTTCCCTTATCTTCAAAGCAAAATGTGAGGGTTCATTTCCTCTCATTTTGCGTCACTCTGACCCCTGAGTCCATCATCAAATTCCTCTCACGCTTTGATTCTCTTTTACTTCTAAGGACCCTTGAGATGACACCGTGGCCACTTGGATAATCCAGGGTACTCTTCCCAGGTACAATTCCCTTTTATGGTGTAGACACTTCTCTCTCTTTGTATGTATAGCCATATGCACATATATATGTATATACACACATTGAAACACCTAAAATATATGTACCCAGATGTATATGCATACATATACATAAACACACACACACATATACAGTTGATCTTGAACAACATGGGTTTGAACTGTGAGGTCCACTTATACATAATTTTTTTCAATAATATATTGTAAACAATTGAGATATGCACAGTTTGAGAAAACTTGCAGGTGAATCACATAGCTTAGAATTATTGAAAAAAAGAGAAATATTAAGTATGTCATGAATGCATAAAATATATGTAGATATTAGTCTATTTTACCATTTGCTACCATAAGTATATAAAAATCTATTTTAAAAGGTTAAAATTCATAAAAATGTATACACATAAACACAGACCATATATAGCACCGTTAGCAGTTTAGAGAAATGTAAACAAATGCAAAGTAGCAATTGCACTTAGTATTACTAAATCATAACTGAGTGAAATTAACTGTAGTAAATACTGTACTACTGTAATAATTTTGTAGCCACTTCCTGTTGCTATTGCAGTGAACTTAGTGTTGTGGTATCAACTTGTGGTGCTCATCATCGTGAACAATTCATTTCTCCAGTAAACCGTGGATTGTAGTGAAACATGGTCTCTCTCAGTTCTTGTGTATTTTTCATCTTGTTTAGTGTGAGACTATAATATCATGAAACTCATACATAGTGCCACTAGTGATGCTGGAAGTGCTCCAAGAAGCAGAGAAAAGGCAAGACATTACAGGAAAGAGTTGCTTGATGTGTACTGTAGATTGAGGTCTGCAGTAGTTTCCTCACACTTCAGAAAGAAGACTCTTCTTGTAAACAGACGATGGAAACTTTCGGTATCGATAAGCACAGTATAGTACTGTAAGTGCATTTCTTCTTCCTTATTATTTTTTCAATAACATTTTCTTTTCTCTAGCTTACTTTATTGTAAAAATATGGCATGTATTATATATAACATACAAAATGAATGTTAATCGACTGTTATGTTACTGCTAAGGTTTCTGGTCAGCAGTAGGCTGTTAGTAGCTAAGTTCCTAATTTTTTACATAAATATGTATCTGTAGAAAATATTTATTACTGTGGTTGTTAAAATTGTTTGTAAATGGTATTATGCTATGCACATGGTTCTACAACTTGTCTTTCTCACTCATGTTTTTCAGCTCTAGCAATCGGGGTACATGTAGGCCTAGTAGTTAGTAACTCTAAGTACAAATAAATCAGTACAAAAGGAATATAAGGAGGTTTGGTAGCTTGGGAAAATGCTGTACTATTTTTTTTTTTTTGAGTTGGAGTCTCACTCTGTCACCCAGACTGGAGTGCAATGGCCGCTCCCGGCCACCGCAGCCTCGAACCTGCTGGGCTCCGGCGATCCTTCCGCCTCA